GTCATCTCAACACATACTGCTCTCTCTGCTTCTGCTCTATTCCTCTCAAAATGTCTGAAAGAGTTAATTTTTTACTGTTTTTCAGTGCATTCTGGGCATTTGGGAGGTTCTCATAAGGTTATCTTTTAAAAAACGCTTCTAAATGCAAACACACATAAACACGGTATGCAAACTGACGTTTTTTAACCTCCGTTTTCCAGCAGTTTCCATGCAAACACTTGTAAACGCTCAACACAGTATGCAAACGCGGCTAAACTGACATTTTTTAACCTCCGTTTTCCAGCAGTTTCCATGCAAATGCTTCTAACGTGCATCAACACAGTATGCAAATGCAACTAAACTGATGTTTTTTAACCTCCGTTTTCCAGCAGTTTCCATGCAAATGCTTCTAAACGCGCATCTACACAGTATGCAAATGCGACCAACTGACATTTTTTAACCTCCATTTTCCAGCAGTTTCCATGCAAATGCTTCTAACATACATCAACACAGTATGCAAACGTGACTAAACTGACGTTTTTTAACCTCCGTTTTCCTGCAGTTTCCATCGTTCAGAAGAGTTTTCCAAACGCCCCATGTACATGAGCCCTTAGTATCTCTATAAACAGTTTGGGTCACAGTCGTGTCTTTCAGCACTTCTTACATCTTATATTGTTCTTTTTTCTGTATTTCACATATGTTGCCACTATCTCCTGTTCAGTTTTCCCTGTTCCCTAGTTTTATCTGTTTAGTTTTCCCTGCTATCTTTGTGTTTTCTGCTACACCAGGAGAAACATTTGTTTTATGGTAGACAAGGATCTATTCCACACAAACACACTGAGCAGTATGCTGACAAGAGCTGCACTTGAAAGACGATAGGAGACGGGGACACAGAGCGGAGATGGTGATTGGAAGAAGCGGTGTCACATGACCGGCAGTATCGTGTCCCGGAAGTGTGAGGAATGGATGTGCTGGGTACTCTATAGCAGGAGGCATGTCTATAGAAGAAGATGATGTGATGTGGATGGACTGTGCTGGGGTCTATACTGCCAGTTAATAAAACAAAGGGAATTCAGAGGCTGAAGTAGAGGAAGGCTGCATGGTAGGAGGAAGACTACTGTCTATGGCAGTGCTTGTGTATAGTGTGTAAATCTAGTAGTGTGCACAAGGGATAATGTTTGTAACACTGGGATGAGTAACATTGTAAATGTGAAGGTATGTTACCCATTCACTTCAATTAATGTCATGTTTAACGCAGCATTTAACCTCAAATCAAACATTTATTATATTGCAGCTTACCAATTCTTCGATGTGATGCCTGTATTAGGTTTCTTTTTTTTAGGCTTTCTTCTATTTGCATCTGGTGATTCAGCCAGTAAGTCTGTTGTTTTTCAAATGAACAAGCTCTCCAGCAGAATGTATCAGTTTACGGGATGAGATAAACCATTTAATATTGGCAGGGGTGCTTCCAATGATCAGGAAAAAGTTGTTTGCTGTAACTGTTTATAAAGTATTAACCTATTAGCGCCAGCGCCTCATGGCCCTTTAAGAGTTTCAGAAACCTGGAGGCGGGCGGGGTTTTAGAGTCATGTGACCGCTATGATTTGCCGTCACAGCGGTCACATGATCGGAAAAGGTCCCGATTGAAAGGGGAGATCAGGACCTTTCCATGAGTCATGGACATATGCAGGACACGCGCTCTCAGCACATATGTATTTTCTAATTGCATGCAAATATGCAGCTGCTCGGCGTCAAGACCCAGACACTGAGAGGCTGCATGTTTGCGTGCGCTCCGCGTCAAAGGGTTAAAGTAGAAATATAGGAAAAACTTTTTTTTTTTTCATTTTCAAAGTGGATCCTGTGTTTCAAGCATTTGTGGCGGTTAGACGTGTGCTGCTTGCTCAGTGCTCTGCAGTCCCCTCAAATGGTGCAGACTTGTTTGAAGAGCTGACGGTTTCTACAGCAATTCTTCCCACAGGCAACAGCAAGTAAGAATTCGCAGACATGAATATGAGGGTACATTAATTTTTCACAGTTCCAAAGTTGGGTTCTAGAAGACAGAAGAGCTACAGGCAAAACATTTTTTTTTTCCTTTCGGATAGAGTAACAGAGGTTTATAGCCCCTGTGAGATTTTTTTTTTGTCATCTGTGTCCCATTGTGGAGATTTCCCTTCACTTTGTGCCCCATAGCCAAACAGGAAGTGAGAGGAAATCCCTGCAAATGAAGGGAAAAGACAAAAAGACCAGAACTAGTGAACTAGTGTGAAAAGACCAGAACTAGTGTCCTCATTGGAAGATCTCCTCTCTATTACTTTTCTGGAGGAGACAGCCCAAAATTTGGGATTTTCTGTTACTTTCACTTTCAATGATGACGGTAAACAGGACAAATAGGGTGAATCTCCGTAACGGGAGCACAGACAGCAATAAAAACTGTTCTAATCCCTCTCCACAGTTTAGCTATACTTTAACTGGAGTTTAGCTTCAGTTTGTTAGTGTATTTAAATCTGCTAGTACATCCCCCCACCCCTTCCAGACTGACAGACCAGAGGAAAACAGAGAGAGAGAAAAAGCCTAAAGAAAAGAAAACGAATGCAGCCACCACAACTAAAAATTGGCAAGTTGCAATATATTACATTTTTGATTTTAATACCACTTTAACCACTTTACAACTGCGCTGTAGCTGAATGATGGCTACAGCATGGTTGTTCAATTCTGGGAGGTCGTCAGCATTAGGAAAGTACTGCAGATAACCGACAAATGTTACAGAGGACATCTGTACTGATAATCAAGGCACCGATTATCAGTGCCACCCACCAGTACCAACCTTTAGTGCCCATCAGTGCCACCCAGCCGTTGTACCCCAGTCGTTACACCCATCAATACTGTCAGTGCCACCAGTCAGTGCTCATCATTGCTGCATATCAGTGCCTCCTCATCAATGCCCCCCAGTGCCGCCTCGTCAGTGCCGCCTCATCAGTGCAGCCTATCGGTGCCCATCAGTGCAGCCTCATCAACGCACATCAGTGAAGGGGAAAAATTACCAGTTTACAAAATGTTATAATAGAAACAAAGAAAAACTTTTTATTTTTTTTATTTTGTTATCTTTTTTGTTTTATAGTGCAAAAAATAAAAACCCAGTGGTGATTAAATACCTCCAAAAGAAAGCTCTATTTGTGTGAAAAAAATAATTTCAATGTTACGTGACTGGGCAATTGTCATTCAAAGTGCAACCGCGCTGGAAGCTGAAAATTGGCCTGGGCACAAAGGGGTTAAAAGTGCCCGGTAGGCAAGTGGTTAAAGTGTGTCCATTTTGAATAGAGTGGGGGGAGAGTTAAAACTCCTGTCAGATGTTTATTGCTGTCTGTGCCTTTGTGAGGAGATGAACTATCTCTGTGCTGAATACCATTATTACCAGGATGTCTGATGATAATGTGAGGGGAAATCTAGCCTTTAAATTTATCAAAACAGGCAGTGAGTAGGGTTGCCTCTTTTTTTTTTTTTTTTTTTTTTTTTTTGAGGAAACACTGCACTTCTTCTGTTCTATTTCCCATTAATAACAATGGGGACAAGGCCCATTTTAACTGGCCAGGTGACAGTCCTAGTGTTGAGGGGTAACCTTTCAATGGGAACGCTTGTTACAGCGACTACCGTCTAAGGGCTCGTTTACTTGTGCAGCTGAAAAGCGAACTGCAATGGGTTGCTTTTCAGAGGCATTTGATAGACGCAATATGTTGCCTCTTCACCACCTGTGTTAGCCATTGAAAGCCCACTGCGCTGTATTTGGGGTTGATTTACTAAAACAGTAGAGTGCAAAATCTGGTGCAGCTGTACATGGTAGCCAATCAGCTTCTAACTTCAGCTTGTTCAGTTAAGCCTTGAAGCTGATTGGGTTCTATACAGAACTGCACTGGATTTTGCACTCTCCAGTTTTAGTAAATCAACCCCTGTGTGCATTACACAAAGTTGCAGTGTGGCCCTATTCACTTGAATGGTTCACATTTGGTGGCAGTACAGACTACCTAAGATAACCTGTGGTATAATTTTGTACTATGGTAGTGTGCACTAACATGGCCACTGTGGGGGCAGGGGACTGTAAAACTGCAGTTCCATCACTTGTTTTATCGAAATACGCATTGAGGGTTATTTAGGCTAATAGGCTGTGCATTGCAAGCGCAGTTGCTCTAGACCTGAAGGGAACTTGCAGGGAAAATAAAAAAACAGCATTTTTGCTTGCACATGATTGGATAAAAGAAATCATACGAGCTTCACTCATTTCAGAGCTTCCCCTCAGATCTAAAGCAACTGCACTTGCAGTGCACAGGCTATTTATCTTTAGTAAATCAACCCCAGTGTGTCACAAAATCTTTTAGGGCCCATTCGCGCTATTGTGTGTGCACTGTAACATGTGATTACACACATTTGCTGATTGGTCAAGGTGGAGATTGTGATGTCACAAAAAAAAAAATTTAAATTCAAGCCATTGTGTGACTAGTGGCCAAACAATCAACCCCTTGTGGTCAGTGTGCAGAGGGGAAGCCACACGACTCAGAAGATTGCAACTATTACTGTAGTAGCACTGATTACTACAGTGATGATTTTCAGTTTCTCCAGAGCCCCCCCCAGGTATTAAATATGCATACCTACAATAGTCCAAGCTGGACAGTGTAAGTTTGCAATACAGATCAAACCTGGATTTCAGCTTTAAAATACAGTAAGGTTTCCATCACACAATTCATTTTAACACCTGCCACGTGCCCCCTACGGTTTAAACTCAGAAAGGTGCCCTGAGCTCATTGTATGTAACATTCATACTAAGTATATACTGTATGGCAGTTAGTCTTTGAGCACAGAAGAGTGAATGGACTCTGATATTCCAGTGTATCCTAAACTATGTTCTATCCTTTATATAGCAATTCGTTATTTAGAAATCTATTTCTGTGCAATAACGATTTACAATAATGATTTTACTATCTGCATACATGTCATTTGTCTTATTTTTTTTTAATTGTTCGTCTACAGACATGGTGATCTTGCGAGAGGGGCTTTGTCCTGGATTGACATCTGATATAATTGCCACACTTAAAAGAAATCGTGTGAAAACAGGTAATGTCTTTTTCAGTTTCACTTAACCTCCCTGGCGGTATGATTATTTCAGATTTTTGGTGCTGAAAGCGGTACCATTTTTTTGCATGGAAATATGTATTTTTTTAATTGTAGGCTGTAATTTTTAGGAAAAACTCACTGAAATCTGTCCGAACAAGAGTCTAGTAAACATCCCGGGTATGATAAAATTTGAAACACAAAATCATAAATTATAATTTAATAAATAAATCATAAAAATAATATAAAAATAATAAAAAATGTAATTCAATAATATAATCAAACCAAAAACACTGAAATGTGAAATAGAGCGCCAAGTTCGCACATTGCTGAGCTCAGTCGCAAAATCGTTTTCAGTTTCTGATGACGAATTTCCCCCACGAATCATTATCACTCAATTCTGCAAGTGGTTCTGATTTACTATCGCTGTTCTCTAGCTGATCTAAACCGCTTTTGACCTAAAGGGACACTTTTTGGACGCCATGGACATTTCTCAGTTTCCAGGCAGAAAGAACAGACAAAATGCAGGCAGGGCACAGGACAAAGCACTAGGGACAATATGTATGTGAAATTGGTTGAAACAGCAATGTTTTACTGTGTAAAATGAAAAAAAAAAAAAAATGACATTTTTTAAAATTTTTAAATTTCCCGCCGCCGGCGGCGCCCGTACGTCCCGACGTCACAGGGACAGGACACAGAAGCCGGATGCCGGCATCGGCCGGAGGAGATGGCCGGGGACGCTGCAGGGGACACATCGTGGGAGCGCAGGGTAAGGTAAGTGAAGAACACATGCCGGAGCAGCGCCGCATGGTATTCCCGAGTGTAGCTCGGGGTTACCGCTTTTGGTACTGAAATGTTACCCCGAGCTACACTCGGGAATACCGCTAAGGAGGTTAAAGGACAACTGTACATTCAGTAGAGCTGGGCTGTAATTAATGGCTTCACCACCCTTAGTCCAGCCCTCCTAGTAAAATGCTTTTCTTCCTCCCAGGTGCAGCAATAATCGCCATGCAGCCCTGCCCTGCACCACCCAGTCATTCTTTACAGGCCAATTCACACTGACTTGCGCTAAAATGTACATTTCCATCCATTTTAGTAGCGGGATGACATTCATTGACATGCATTTTGGTGTCCGTTGACATACATTTTTGACATTAGTTGACATGCATTTTAGCGTGTGTTAAACATACTGCATTTTCACAGGATATCCTCTGCATTGTGTTGACATCTGCTGCATTGAGCAAAAATGCATACATTTCAGAAGGACATCTGAAAAATTTCCAGCGTGTCCTATTCACACCATAATGCTCTGTTGACCTACAAAGCATTATGGTGTGAATAGGAGACATTGGAAATTGTTTTTCAGATGTCCTTCCATTGATCTGCATTTCACAGATCAAACGCAGATCAATGCACAGGTGTGAATAGGCCCTTAGATGATGTCTCAGCTGGGTTCTTTTCTTCCCCTATGGGAGATGTTAGCTTGAGTGGTCCTACAGAGTGTAGCTATCTAATAACAATAAGTGGACCCATGAACAGTAAGATAGGATTCTGCAGGGACATTTTCAGTGGAAAGGCTGCACAGTGCCAGACAGGACCAAACAGCAAAGGTCCCTGGACCAGGGGATGAAGAGTAAGTATGTTAATGACAAGTTCACTTTTACGAAAAAAAAAAAAAAATAACAAATGAGAGTCCTTCAGGTGCTATTTTGCAAACTCCAAGTGGGTTTTCATGTGTTTTGCATTAGGAAGAGGCTTCCGTATAGCCACTTTGTCATAAAGCCCAGATCGGTGGAGGGCTACAGTGATGGTTGTGCTTCTCTGGATCTCTGGAGCTCAGTTAGAGTGACCATCGGGTTCTTGGTCACCTAACTATGGTGTCCGTTTATGAACCAGCGGTAATAGATCGCTGCTCAGTTCTCCAGCATTCTCGGAGAACACAGTTCTCCTGTGAATGCCTTTTATGAAGCAGTTCTCCGAACGAAGGGAGAATGGTCTACAAACGCTGGAGAACGGCTAATTTTACTATAATCTCGCGAGATTACAGTAAAAGATCAGTTTACTAAGCAGAGGTAAATTATCGCTGCTTAGTTTGTGGTCCCTCCGATTCTCCAGCTCTGGGCTGGAGAATCTGGAGGGAGAACACAGATCTCCAGTGAAGGGCTCAACATGTTCTCCGCTGATCGCCTGAGTGTCATAAACTGTGAATGACCAGAGAATAGCTGCGATCCTCTGAATCTCAGCTATTCTCTGTGTCATAAACGGACACCTTACTAAGGCCCTTCTTCTCCTATTGCTAAGTTGGAATGGGTGACCAGCTCTTGGAAGAGTCCTGGTTATGCCAAATTTTTTTCCTTTGAGTATTATGGGGACCACTGTGCTCCTGGGAACCGTTGGTGCAGCAGAATTTGATTTTGTCGCCTTCCCTAGACCTGTGCTTTGCAATAATAATTTCTCTAAACTCTGCAGGCCGTTCCTTTGACCTCATGGCTTTTGCTCTGATACAGTATGCATTGTAATCTGTGAGGCCTTTTATAGAGATGTGTGGCTTTCCAGATTATGTCCAATCATTTTAATTTACCACAGGCTGACTCCATTCGGTGTAGAAATATCTCAGCAATGATCAAGAGAAATGGGAGGTACCTGAGCTAAATTTCAAGTCATGTTGCAAAGGGTCTGAATACCTATGCCAATGTGATAGTTCTGTTTTTTTTTCTTTTTAATACATTTGCAAACATTTCTAAAATTCTGTTTTCACTTTGTCATTATAGGGTACTGAGTGTAGTATTAGGCTGCAACATAACAAAATTGTAAAAAATTATGGGGGTCTGAATACTTTATGAAAGCACTGTACCTAGAGTGCTCAATAGTGCCCTAGTAGTTCAATAAGAACTACAAGCCAACAGCTGCAAAGTCAGCTGGTACGTGTAGTTTTCACAGAACACTCAGTCAGTGAATGACGTCAGTAGAGACCCGCTTGGCCACGCTTTTAGATTGTAAAAGCAACCTGGGGGAGAAGATCCCCTGGTCGCTGTCAAAACAGATGGATCGAGGGGGTGATAGGGGTGTGTAGCTGGTGTACTTGTAACATGTTACACCCTGAATATACCCTACTGCCCCCACACACACACACGCTAGGGCCAATATGGGAAGAAGCCAATAACCTGCCTGTCCATCTTTGGTTTTTGGCCAGGAAACATACAAACAAAGCAAAAACACAGAAATTCCATGCAGACAGAGATTGTAGAAAAACCTAATTTACAAAAGTGACTGTATACCTGTAAACAATATGGACTCATAGACATGGCTAACTAGGCCATTTACAGGAGATCAGTGTTTTTCCATTCAGTCACAGACAGGAAGCCTGTGTAAATCAATGATAGGCTAACACTACCTGCAAGTTGTAGATGGAACAATTACCTGCACTTAGGGATGGGCGTGTTTCACTGGGTGCAGACAGTTCACGTTCAGGGGCACACATTCAACCCTACTCACAGTTGTGCGATTATATGTAGTGTCAGCCTGTCATTGATTTGTATGTGCTTCTTCTGCATAGTTGATCGAAAGCATCTGACTTTACCCGCTGCAAAAACACACTGATTTGGGTGGTGTACAGCCCTAATCAACTGTTTGCATGAGCCCTTTGGTTCAAATACCAGCCACGGCACCACTTGCCTCGAGTTTGCATGTTCTCCCTGTGCCTGTGTGGGTTTCCTCAAAGTACTCCGGTTTCCTCCAAAACTCCAAAGACATGCTGGTAGGTTAAATGATGGATCCTGTCTAAATTGGCCCTAGTATGTGTATGTGTGAATATAAGTTAAGGACCTTAGATTGTACTCCCCTTGAGGGTTAGGGACTGATTGGAATGTACAATATATATGTAAAGTGCTGCGCAAATTGACTGTGCTAAATAAGTACCTGAAATAAATAAATAATACATCAAATGTTCTAGCTGTTGCTGTTTCCTAGAAATATTTTAAATTTTTTTTCTTTGTTTTATAGTGGTTGATTTGGTGGCTTCAGATTTAGAAGAACTTGCTCGGAAATGCTCCTTATCGTACAAGGTAATGCTTTATCAGAGACTGCACATCTTTATATGTTTGCCAGTGGCATCTTTAAAAAAAATTTAGTGAGAAAAATACACAATCACCATTGCTGTCCTCCTTCTAGAAATACTAGTTTCCTGGCTGTTTTTGGCTTCACCTTTTTTTAGTCATTGTTTTGGATAGGCATGGAGATTAGTCAGAGTAAAGTCAGAAATTCTGCATACATGTTTGACATCCGTATCCCTAGAAGTACTAAAGTCAGTACATCAGAGCAGGAAGTAATATGCAAGCTTGCCACTACCTCCTGCTCTACACATACCTTTTTGCCTACACTGTGAAGGGCAACATCACTGGTCACTGCACAGAAGAAAAGGGATGAGCAAGATTTGGCACTCGGAAAGTGTCAGAGTTGAAAGACCCACCATTTGGCTGTAGCAGGTAGGTGCGGGCACCTCCCTGGCACATTTTTTTCCCTGAAAGATTCTCTTTAAGTTTGTTTCTAGGAAAGGAAACATCTTGCCCTAAAATGGTCCAATATCACTAGGTCAAATTGCATAAACATTACCACGGTATCAGAAAATTGACAATTTACAAACAGTTATACATAAGACTCCTTGGAGGTTATTAAGGGAATGGAGCTGTATCAGGACTAAAAGGCCTGTGGTTGCACCAATATATTCTGGATCTTAGTTGTGTGGTTTAATATATAATAAGGGGGAAGAAGCAGCCAAGGAAATTGGGGGAGAAGACCTCAGTGTATTCAGCTGTGAATTCTAGTAATTCCACCTCTGACAAAAGACTTTGTCTGTTCCCTTGATAGTGGAAGAGCAATTCTATATAATTTTTATTTTGTTTATTCTGCAAACCAATGCAGCAAGGAGGGGAAATCTTGCTTATGCCAAAGTACTGGGATACAAGATCTGGTGGTATTCACTAGGGTTCTGATGAGAGGGCTTTTATATTATTTGTGGAGGAGTAGGAAGAAGGCAAGGTCGTGGGGGGTGTGGAAATCTGTACATTTTGGGGCAATTTTATTCTACACCCTTCCAGAACTTTGATAGTTTCGGACATGACCAAAATTATGGAGAAAAGAACTCTTGCCTTCCCCACAAAGCCAACAAATTGACGTCTGGGACGGAGAGAAAGTGAAGGATGCTATGTACTCTGTACCAGTCCGTTAAGACTTTATATCCTGTTTGATGTGAGCTGGTGCTAACCACTGTTTTGTGTGAGGGTTAACTGTACTTCCTTTGACTACTTCTGTACAGGCTGTGTCTCATCGCTACTCATGATCAGTGCATACAGTATGGAGAGTGTATGTCCAACTGAGCCCTGTTTAGTTCACATGAGTTAGAAAGGTGGTAATGGGTGTGGGCTATGCCCTGGTGGGGGAATAGAAATTAGGAATTGGTAAAGTTGGAAAATTCTCCAAAAAAAAAAAGATGTTGTGCCAAAATGTGATACCCTGGTATGACCAATTTGTGCTAGGGACTGTGGTTAAAGGGATAGTTCACCTTCACCAAAGAACTGCCTATGCAGGTTAGGGGTGTCTGGATAAAAAACAAACTGTGTCTGACGAAAGTTGAATAATGCTCTTGTTATATGTATAGGCCATTTATGTACCTCATGAAGCCCGACTGGAATACCTCAGGACGTTGCTAGTACATTGCTAAGTGAGGCCTAGTCATTACTGCTCACCCCACCATCACAGGAGTGAGCTTTTTTTTCTGATTCAGACCCCCTCACATGCTCTTTCTCTCCCCTGATACAGTAGCTCTGAGCTCAACATCTGAGAGCTTATCGGATGATCGCTCCGAAAGCATTTTCTTCAATTTCCTCATGTTTATTAGGTATGAGGAATCAGGGTGATCAGTTCAGGAAATCAATGGATTAATTTCACCACTACAACAGAACACAGAGCTCTATTGCTATCAACATTACTCCTCCTTTTTCCATCATTCTTCAACCTCATATTAGTGGATGGTTTAGTTCATCACAAAGGATTGTACAGCTGGTTGGCGTGGAGTGGGCAACATATTGCCTGCCATCCCATACCCCAAATCTCCCCTCTACCTCCATCTATTTAGCCATTTTCCCTCCTAATCTCAATAGTATATATGCACAGACAACACATTGTCATATGTAAAAAATGTATAACTGAAACTATGAATACAAATGTATATGCACATACTGTTTTTTATATATTATCAGTTGGTTTTTTTGGGGTTTTTTTTTTTTTTGCTTCTATTGCATACGTCAATCTGATCCTGTACCATTACATTAAGGTGTAACTAAAGGCAAATCCTTTTCTTAGTTTTGGATAGAGTGGAGAGGGATTAGAACACCTGTCAGCTTTTGTTACTGTCTATTCACCCTCTCTATTTGTCCTGTTTACCTTTCTCATCAAAGTGAAAGTAAAAGAAAATCCCAAATTTTTAGGTTGACATTAGAACACTAATAGAGGGTTAATCTTCCAATAGAGACATTCATTCTCTTGACCCTTGTAACACACCAGGATTCCCTCACTTTGGAAGGTTTCCTCTCGCATGTTTTGACTATGGGAAAGGAAGTGAAATGAAATGTCCCCAATGGGATACAGGTGGCAAACAATAACTGACAGGGACATTAACCCTCCCTTACTCTATCCAAAATGAAGAAAAAAACCTTTTGCCTATAGTTACACTAACACCACAGATGCAATTGAATGTACTGTATATAATACAGTGCCTTGAAAACGTATTCATACCCCTTGAAATTTTCCACATTTTATTATGTTACCACCAAAAATGTAAATGTATTTTATTGGGATTTTATGTGATAGACCAACACAAAGTGGCACATAATTGTGAAGTGGAAGGAAAATGATAAATGGTTTTCAAAATGTTTTACAAATGTTGGAAAAGTGTGGCGTGCATTTGTATTCAGCCCCCTTTACTCTGATACCCCTAACTAAAATCTAGTGGAACCAATTGCCTTCAGAAGACACCTAATTAGTAAATAGAATTCACCTGTGTGTATTTAATCTCAGTATAAATTCAACTGTTCTGTGAAGCCCTCAGAGGTTTGATCGAGAACATTAGTGAACAAACATCATGAAGACCAAGGAACACAACTGACAAGTCAGGGATAAAGTTGAAGAGAAGTTTAAAGTACTGTTAGGTTATAAAAAAAAATCCCAAGCTTTGAACATCTCTCACGGAAGCCCTGTTCAAACCATCATCCGAAAATGGAAAGAGTATGGCACAACTGCAAACCTACCAAGACTGGCCGTCCACCTAAACTGACAGGACGGGCAAGGAGAGCATTAATCAGAGAAGCAGCCAAGAGGCCCATGGTAACTTTTGTTGAAAGAAGTCCCGTTTGCAGTTTGCGAGAAACCATGTGGAGGACACAGCAGCAAACGTGGAAGAAAGTGCTCTGGGCAGAACTTTTTGGCCTGAAAACAAACTTTGTGTGGCGGAAAACTAACACTGCACATCACCCTGAAAACATCATCCCCACCATGAAACATTGTGGTGGCAGCATAGTGTTGTGGGGATGCTTTTCTCCAGCAGAGACAAGGAAGCTGGTCAAAGTTGATGGGAAGATGGATGGAGCCAAATACAGGGCAATCTTAGAAGAAAACCTGTTAGAGTCTGAAAGAGACTTGAGACTGGGGTAGAGGTTCACCTTCCAGCAGGACAACGACCCTAAACATACAGCCAGAGCTACATGGGAATGGTTTAGATCGAAGCATATTCATGTTAGAATGGCCCAGTCAAAGTGCATACCTAAATCCAATTGTGAATCTGTGGCAAGGCTTGAAAATTGCTGTTCACAGACGCTCTCCATCCAATCTGACAGAGCTTGAGCTATTTTTCAAAGAAGAATGGGCAGAAATTTCACTCTCTAGATGTGCAAAGCTGGTAGAGACATCCCCAAAAAAGACTTGCAGCTGTAATTGCAGGAAAAGGTGGTTCTACAAAGTACTGACTGAGAGGGGCAGAATACAAATACATGCCACACTTTTCAGATATTTATTTGTAAAACATTTTGTGAATGGACCCACTTTTTTAATTTGTCCTTTTTTTTTCCTTTTTGAAAATCTAAAAAAAAATCCCAAAAATATTTTTTCACTATCTAGGTCATACAAAGCATGAATAACTGACGTTTTTGTGTAATAGCGGATCCTGTGTTTCAGGCACTTGTGGCGGTTAGACGTGTGCTGCTTGCGCAGTACTCTTCATTCCCCTCAAATGGTGCAGACTTGTATGAAGAGCTGAAGGTTTCTACAGCAATCCTTCCCACAGGCAACAGCAAGTAAGAATTCACAGACATGAATATGAGGGTACATTCATTTTTCACAGTTCCAAAGTCATGTTCTAGAAGACAGAAGAGCTGCAGGCAAAACATTTTTTTTTTCATTTTGGATAGAGTAAGGGAGGGTTATAACCCCTGCCTGTTTTATATTATATGTATCCCATTGGGGAGATTTACCTTCACTTCCTGTCCCACAGCAAAAAAGAGGAAGTGAAAGGAAATCCTTGCAAATTAAGGGAATCCATTGGGGACCCCCAGACCACCAGAACTAGTGTCCCCATTGGACGATTTCCCCTTTATTACGTTTCTGGGGACAACCCAAAATTTGTGATTTTCTTTTACTTTCATTTTCAATGATAATGGTAAACTGGGCAAATGGAGGAGGTGAATCTCCCTAATGGGGGCACAGACAGCAATAAAAACTGACAGGGGTTCTAATCTCCTCTCCACTCTGTTCAAAACTAAAAAAAGTTTTGCCTTTAGTTGTAGTTTAAGTAAATATAGATTTAAAGCATAACTTTTAACATGGCTGAAGGGTCAGCAGCTCTTGCCAAATTCTTCTGTGCTGCTTCTGTCACAGCGTCTTCACTTTTCAACCATTGGGTGGCCACTGATTATGTAACTTGTGCACACAGGAGTACGTTATTTTGGCACCCTGCTCCTTTCGTGGTATCTTACAGATGCCAGGAGTGTACAGTGTATAAGACAAATTGTGTACCCAATAAACATTTCCCTTTTTTTTGGCAAAATAGACATGCAGTCTTTTTAGCCAGAAACCCAACCTCCTAGCAATATATTTTAAGTGTTTAGGTTTGTTTTAATTGGGACTTTGCCTGTATGCATACAAAATGGTTTATAATATTTAGGTAGATAAGAGTCCAACTTTTCCAAAAAATCCTTGACTTTTATAGATGCAAACTCATGTCTGTCATTGTGGACCTGTCTTCACTATCTGGTGATTCATTAACCAGGAGCAAGCAGACAGGAATCTAAATTGCTGAAAGCATGTTCCTTGTCAGTAATTCACTGGGTAGTAAAGCAGGGTCAGTATGCCAGACCCAGAGCCTGCATCTTTGAAATCAATTCAATAATAGCAGTAGCTATATTTTTATCCTCACATCTGGCTTGATGTTTATGCATAGAACCATGAAACTCAAAAAGAAGACGCATGCTTTCATGTACTTTCATGTGTTTGCCATATGTACATACTGCTTTTCAAATGACTTCCATAGAGAAAGAAAAGAGATGCATGACATAAAGTAACAACAAACACAAGCATACATGGCTCCCTATGATATTCAAAGTTCAGGTCTGAATCTTTCAAAAGCCTGTAACCTCACCTTCACCAATTGCTTACACAACCTCAAAATTGAAATAAACTTTAAAGAAAAATTGAAATAAACTGTAAAGAAGTCATCCAGATTCAAAACCGGAGATGCATTTTCATTACTATATTGAAAACGTGCAAATATATTGAAGTAAACTTTTTCTTTGTAAACAAACCTGGTGAGACCTACCTAAGTGATTAGTAAGCACTCCTAGCAAACCAGGCAAATGAGTTGTTATATAAGTTATGGCTCTCTCTGCAGATATGAAGTAAGGGGGATATGTATATTTTGTAATGTTGAGTATGCGTTCTTTTACCATACTCTATGTATGTATGTATGTATATATATATATGTATGTGTGTGTGTGTATGTATGTATGTATGTATGTATATATATATATATATATATATATATATATATATATATATATATATATATATATACACACACACACACTTCTATGTGCACAGCACCATCTAGTGTAAGAGGGAAAAAGATTCACAGCTACCATAAACTTTCTGGAAGCTTTCTTGTGTGTTTTCTTTTTTTTTTTTTTCAATCTTAAAAGGTAATCTAGCCTTTAAATGAAGTCCTTACCTTACCCTTAATCACTGACCCGTACCTTTTGTACTCCTAACACAGTGTCAACCCCCCTTTTACTGAAAGCTGAACTGCTTTAATACTTGCCTCGTCTCCCCTGATGTGATGCCTGTGGGTCTTCTTTTGGGTTCAGCACCTTCTGTTGCCTTGATCACCTAGCAGTGTAACTCCCGTGCAATCATTAATCCCGGCACCAAGGCATGCTGAGAATGTATGCTGAGCTACGCAGCTCATTGTACACTTTAAAGCATCTTCAGAACAGGAGCACGAAAAGCTTTTATTGCACAAGACTATAGTAAGTCTCTTCTGCAATAAAAAACCTTTCTTTTATTATAAATGTTTGATGTGAAGGTAAAGCACTGAACGGTCATCACCAAGAGTGACTGATTTGATTGATTTGATATATATATATATATATATATATATATATATATATATAAATAAAATATGTTTGTTTTTAATTCTATATTTGCTTCTAGATTGGACCTTCTATTGGATTCAGGTTTGTACACTGGAGAAGTCACAGAGATTGCAGGAATAGCAGGATGTGGCAAAACACAGGTTTGAACAATGTACTTTATCTTATCTGGTGTAAGTTTAGTCATTTACAATGACTAGATCTTATGAATATGGACAGGTGGCAATAGTTCTATTATTATATAATCAATTATTGTTACAAATTTTCTTATTAATCTTCACCTGGTTATTGTGGACATTGTTTCAATGTAGATGTTACTTGCACTGCATTTTGCATCTCTTCTTCAATTGTTTTAAAGAATTGTTTATGATTTGCTATAAGGCAGCTCATTCCAAAAATTGTTTTATTTTAGATATGCCAAAGCATCGCTGTAAATGTGGCTAGCAGCATAAAGCAGAGAGTTTGTTATATAGACACCACAGGAGGCCTGACTGGCTCTCGTCTCCTGCAGTTACTACAATCCAGGACTGAACAGGAGGATGAACAGGTAGGTAGTGGATTTGAACCCATAAAATTCACAGTTAGGTGATGTTGGCCTGCGTATGCCCCATGAGTGCACACCTTGTAACAATGAGGCATTGCTGCTGATTTCCAGCAGCGCCCAGTTGATGAATGTATATGAGAATATTCACAGGAGAAAAGTTATTTATTGGTGTCAATCTTTAATTGCAACAGCAGTGTCACTTTTCCAGAAAACCCTTGCTAGGAATAGTTTACTGGACACACATCTTACAAATATTCATGGCTCATAGTAGCAGTGTATTTAGACATGTGAATTGCTGCTAATAACAGGGACATTGATGCATGAATGTCTTCTGATCTTTATTTTTGCATATTTTTTTACTTACTGTAGCTTTGAATTTACATATACATTTTTATACTTTTAGGGCTATATTTGCCTGTGGCATTCATTTTATTGTAATCCTACTTCTCTGTTCTACTCCCCAGCATTCTACTCTCCCTTTCTTGACTGTTCATTTCTATATATTAGTCATTACCTCTACAGATTTTTTTTTCTCCTCTGAATCTATTTAGCCTGCACGCTACCAGCAAGTAAAAATTCCACAGCCCCCTCAACAATGCTTACATTTTTAAAATATTTTGGAAATCACCTTCATATATAAACATATGCTCTACGCTCCATGTGTAAATTAAAAATATTGTAATGAAAAAAGGAAATTATGTTCACAGAACTATGATATCTTATCTTATACTGACTACTTGTAATCACTAGAATTCAAATTAAAAAATGTATGTCAGACTTAAAGCCAAATTGAATCCTTGCTAATCATTACTGTAAAATATCACTGTAAAGTGACTCCTGTCCTGATTGTTGCATTGCCTGCACTAATTAGACGTTTTGTGGATTTCTTCTTTCCTTTTTCTTTAAAGTCTGTTGACTAATACAATTTTTACAATTTTCATATAATATAATTTTGGTCACTTCTAGATTGCATCTCTTCAAAGGATTGAAGTATTTCATGTGTTTGATGTGTATAAATTATTAGATGTACTTCAGGATTTGCGGCAGGGTTTGTCCCAACAGGTATGAAAGCCAAAATATTCATTTTTATTATATTTAAGAAACCATCTCCAGAATTCTTCAGATCTCACATTATATCCTACTGGTTATATTGATGAGCTGTTTACTGTGATCAAACCATAAATGTAGACAAAAAGCTACAATATAGTTTACTGCAGCGTTTCTCAACCTTTTTTCAGTCAAGGCACCCTTTAACATTATGGATAATCTCAAGGCACCCTTTTAAATTCTGCACAATCTTAAGGCACCTCATTCTAAAATGTAAAAAACGATTCTACACACATCCAGTACACCCAATGTTAGAGGCGATTTACTCTTCCAAAGCAAATACACCTTTGCACACTGGTACCAACTAGTATTCCAGTGTGTGACCCAGTGGTGTATTTTGGTTTTGTGCTGCCCTAGGCAAGACTAAAATCGGGCACCCCCCGCAACTAAATTTATCCCACCCCTTCCTGTTTAAGATCCATTCATCTGTAAACCCCACCCCTTCCTATTTAGGCTCCACCTCTTCCTATTAGAGCTCCGTCCACTGACAATGATGGGGCGCTATTCCTCCCACTGACATCAATGATGGGGCGCTATTCCTCCCACTGACAACAATGATGGGGTACTGACACCAGTTACTTCCACACTGACACCAGTGATGGGGCACTATTCCTCCCTTACTGACACCAGTGATGGGGCACTATTCCTCCCACACTGACACCAGTGATGGGGCACTATTCCTCCCACACTGACACCAGTGATGGGGCACTATTCCTCCCACACTGACACCAGTGATGGGGCACTATTCCTCCCACACACTGACACTATTCCCCAGTACAGTACAGTTCCAGCGGCCAATCACCGGCGAGGAGGCAGAGCTTGCAGAGGGAGGGACAAGCTGTTATAGGCTGTTGAGTGATCCCAGGGGTGTGGCCAGATGACAGGGGTGGCATGTCATCCCGCCCACACATCGCGATCCAGGGAAATGAAGACACTGGACCCACTGACCGGACAACCTCTTTACCCCTCCTCCAGCAGCACTTCATGGACCAGATCGACGTGGGACTGGGACACGGAGTTGCGGACCCAGGTAAGACACAGCAGCCTGCCCCTGTACTAAGTGTCCCTTCCGTGGGAAAGGGGGGGGGGGCGGTGGCGCCGCCGTGGCGCCCCCCTGAAAAGTGATACCCTAGGCAAACTCCTTGTTTGCCTTGCGGCAAATACGCCCCTGGTGTGTCCCTCTGTTTCTCTCCCACACTCTAATGTGACTCCAGTGCTGATGGAGAGGGGCAGAGAAGGGACAAACATGGCTGATGTGCATCCATCACACGTCATCCTTGTGAACTGATGATATAATTAGTTGTTAGGATGTAGGCAGCTAGAAGGTCGTAAAAGTCCACAATGAAAACCTGTGGCTTTGTGTAATAAAGGACAGGATTGATCCACCTAATGGCTTGTATACAATTTTTGGGCATTTTGCCAAGGCACCCCTGAAGACGCCTGAAGCACCCCAGGGTGCCTTGGCACCCTAGTTGAGAGAGGCTGGTTTACTGCAATTTCATCACTTGTTATTGTTTATTGATCACAATTCCTAATCTTGGTTCAGGAGGAGGTAAAACTCTGGCACCGCGCGTCATTTCCTCCATCTCTTTTTGCCCCACATTGAACTACACATCTAACCATGCAATGGTATGATAGTTTTCTGTGTGGGCAGTTATTGGTCATGTTTATGAGTGTTACATGGGTGCGTCTATATGACATTGGTGCATCACAGAGCCTGGTGGCAATAAAGGAAGGTGGGCATTAAGTTCCTACGTCCTAAACATAGTACTGCCCACTGATCCCTTACACAATGACATGATGACTTCTGCAAAATCACCGTTGAGACTAAAAAGGGGCAATGAACTAAAGCCTGGTACACACGATTATCAAATAAATCATGCGTTTTTTTGGGTTACGAACAGATAAAAATAATTCGGAAGTGTTGTATTGTGTTTTCAAACGATGAGAACTGTACTGATTACAAGAAAAGCGTACGCTCTGGTATCATACAAGAAAAATGTTCATGCTTGTCCCAACGGATAATTTCGCATGACATGTCCTGATCAGCTCTCGAAAGCTGTGTACTAACGATCGCTTTGAAAGCAGTATTTTACATATGATTTTCTGATCACATGTATGGGCCTTAAGGATAGAGACGCGCTACTAGTGTCTGGTCCCCAGACAGAAAATTCCAAACGTAAAGCCTCTGAAGGATGACTTTGAAAAAGGATCAGAGAGTATTGCTGCTTTGTCAAGGTGTATGAAGCTAAAATTAGTGATAGCCGTGTGTATTTAGAGCAGACTTCTGAAATTGGCTATAACCTGGAGTAGGGATTTAATTCTGCATATGTTATGTTTTTTAACATCAGTGTTTAGAAGGCTTTTTGGTAATGTTAATATATACTGTATTTATCTGACCTTTTCTGTTAGCAGTTCAGCCACTTTATGAAATCGGTTGCCTTTGTATAGTTGTCCTGTGCAAATTTGGCCTATTTTGAAAGTTTCAAGGGATGCACAAAGGAGTCAAAACATTTGTTGGACGATGTCAGAAACATTCATGCGAGCTGAACAAATTGTCCCCGTATTTATTATAATAGAAAAATTCCTGTATCATTAGCTCAATCTAGTGGCTAAAAATGAAGTATATTTTCTCAGGTATTATGGAAAACTATACTGCATTTTGATGATTATTTATTATCATTAGATGGAGTTTAAGGATACAGGTATTAATCTATTAGAAAAAATATAGGGAAATGTCATGCAGCTTGTACAAATGCTTTTAAAGAATAAGTTCACCTTTCAAGCAAAAATAATAATGCACATTTTTTTTTTTTTTGCAGGTAAAAAAAAATGTGCATTTATTATTTTTTGTTTTGGGAGCATGTAAAGTGTTGCACCAACGATCAACAGATCGCTGATGCCATGCAGGTCTCCTGCAGACCTGTCCGTCACTGTATCTGCTTCCTCCTACTGGGAAGCCGATAGTTACTGACTGGAAAACTCAATGAACTACCACAGCGCTCATTCATTAAGAACTACAAGCCGATAGCCGCAAAGGCTGCTGGGACTTGTAATTTCCTCATTCACAGAACACTGTGAATAAGTGACATGGCTGGGTGGGTAAAGCCCAACACAGCCACGTTTTTAAAAAAATGTGACAGTTAGCAGGGGCTTTCACCTCCCTCCTAGCTGGTGTGTATTGCTAGAGAGGTTTTTTTTTCTTGGGAGAGTGCATGTGACCAGCACAGGGCCGATCAGCACACTCCAGACAGGGGCCAGGGGTTCTGCATCTTCCTAGAGCAGAATGAAAACTACTGCTAAAAGCTTTAACATGTGCTTGGCTGGACATTGATAGAAGTCACAAGACTGCTCTAAGTGCTGATGAGAAAAGGTATTTAGCAGTTTATATTTTACTAAAATAATTGCATTTCCATGTTCTGTGTAAGCCCAGATATAGTGAATGCAGAGACTTGGGTTTAGTAACACTTTAAACATAGGCAGAGTAGTGATCAGCTCAGTGTGCTTTTTATACTTTTTTCCACTAGCCCTGGTATCCCCCAGTCTCCACTACAAATCCTTCTCATAATATGGGGCCTGTCATTCTCCCATCAGGAGGTGCATTAATCTGTGAGGTAGTGCCTCATTATTACATACCTCTTAGATCTGCATTTTTTTAAGGATGATGTGATTCAAGAAAGCCTGATTTATTTATTATAAAATTTAAGATACTTACAATTTGTTTTAGCTGTACTATATATAAAGCGGTTAGCTGTCTTTTGAGGGCTTGATTTTATTTTTGCCTGGAGTTCAGCTTTAATCAAGGTTAACGTGAAACCTCTGTATACCTTGTTTCATTAATTAGGGTTTACTTAGAAGACCAGACCCTGTTGCATGTTACACCTACTTTTTGCATTCAGAACTGAAACTATATTTCTCTCTTCTTAGGTGGTAAGATCAGGAGAAGCTCTGAAACTTCTAGTCATTGACTCCGTATGTGCTGTTATCTACCCACTGTTAGGAGGAAAGCAGACAGAAGGTGGGAAGCAGACAAAATATCTCAAATGTAAAAATGGGCTTTTATTATGTAAATGTCTAGTTGATAAACTGTTTGAGACAACACATAGCAATCAGTCATATTCAACTATCATTCTACAGCTGTAATTTTTCTGTGCATCTTCTTTTTATATGTTGTCAGCTGTTAATTTTTGAAATAGATTTTTCTCACCTTTTTCAGGAATGGCTGCCATGATGCACCTGGCACGGGAACTACAAACCCTTGCTCGTGATTATAGCCTCGCTGTTTTTGTGAGTTCCCCAAAATGTTTTTCTTTGCACTGAGATGGTAGACTTATTTGGAAAATAAGCCAAGCTTTGGCTTACTATAGTATAATCTCCACATTTCAATAACAGAATTTGCTGCAGACCTTGTTTAAAAATAAACCCCACTGGTCATTGTGACCTGTACCATGTTAAATGTCTTGTTACTGTATTGTGTTCATATGTAATAATAATTGTATCATATATTATATATTTCATCATAATGGCTACGTTATGAGCTATTGTGTAGTTCAAGCTACTGCAGATAACTTCTGCTTGTTGATTTAAAGATTTGTTTGTACTATATGGTGCTGATTGGTGTATTTCTCCAGGTATCTAACCATGTTACCAAAGACAATACAAGTAGGATTCGTCCAGCCCTGGGTCGTTCATGGAGTTTTGTGCCCAGTACTCGTATTCTGCTCTATAGACAGGAAGGAAACGCCCAAAGTGGATTTCGTACAATGTTGCTTGTAAAGTCACCTCGACAGGTATGCTTGTCTTTTTTTAAAATAAATTATGCAGTTGTAATATCATGGTCAATTGTTATTTTTTTCTGACTCTATTTGTATTCCCAGCCTTCAAACTTGCAAGTGGAAGTGGAGATTGGCAGCCGTGGGACGCTAGACGAAAGCAGTACAATCAAAGCCTTTGGATCGTGACATACCAGTCGGAAAGATGGAATTTTCATTTTGATTTGTTATGAACAGCACTTGAAAACCTTTTGTATATTTAATATGTTTAAGGAAGAAAGAAATATTACTTTATACCAAAGTTGTATCATTTCATTTGTTGTATACAATTTCTGTATGGCTATTTGGAGATTCTGAGAAATGGATAGCACTTCAGCCAGTTCCATAAACAAGTACCGTATTTTTCGCCGTATAAGACGCACTTTTTCTTCCCCAAAACTGGGGGGGAAATGTCAGTGCGTCTTATAAGGCGAATATGGAGCGGCCGGTCCGGTATTTCCACCGCGGCCGTGTCAGAATACTGGGCCAGCCGCTCAGCTCTGCAGCGGGACCTTACCTGTTCCTCTATCCAGCGGCGTGCTGTCTTCCCGGCTTCTGTAGTGTGGGCACTGGGCATGACAGCCAAATGCGCATGCTCAAGAAGCGGTGCGCTTTGTGAATGGTAAGGCGGCACCTGGGACACATGACAGATCCCAGAAGCCGCCGGACCAATCACAAAGCGCAAGTGCTTCTCGCTCATGCGCACTGGGCACCCGGCTGTCATGCCGAGCGCCATTACAGAAGCCGGGAAGACAGCGCGCGGCTGGATCGAGGAACAGGTAAGATCGGGTACCCGTCAAATTCAGGTACCCGCTCCCCACCTCCCCAAAGGTCAGCAGTCATCTGTACTGTCCGCAGTCTCTGGTCATCCCTGTGCTGTCCGCAGTCTCTGGTCATCCCTGTGCTGTCCGCAGTCTCTGGTCATCTCCTGTACTGTGTCTGCAGTCCATTAGTTCAGAATTTTTTTTTTCCTGTTTTATGCCTTTAAAACCTAGGTGCGTCTTATGGTCAGGTGCGTCTTATACGGCGAAAAATACGGTAATAGCTTTTTAAAAAGGGAGTAAAAAAAATATGGAAAAAAAAGCATTTGAAGAAGAGCATTTGAGACATAACAAGCAAGCTGGATGAAGGACTTGCACCACACTGCCTGATTAAGCTTGGTTTTATGTGACCAGAGCAAGTTCTTGCGTAGTATGGCCTATGGCTAGTTGAAAGTATTGAAAGGGGTAGTGTGACGGTTTCCAGTGAAGAGAGGGTAAAAATGAAATCGGCATGCAATTTACAGAGAATCATGTGTCAGTCTTGTATCTATTATATTAAATACCTGGAGCAGATCATTTTGTAACACACCCCTCCTCTATACATCAAAATAGTTTTCAGTAATAACTATGAAATTAGGATAATTGGCAGAAAAGAAATTGCAACAGTAAATTTATTTTTATTATTGCATGCAAAATACATAATTATTGCATTGAAAACTACAGTTAATATTAGTGACATGAGGGCTGATCACCAATGAAAGGGGCATTTTTTTTTAGAATTCCTATATTGGTCAGTGGAAGAAAGGAAGAATGCCTGTTGTTCTGTGGGAAAAATGCCCCTACCATTGATGATCAAAAAGAAAAATGGTTCCTACATTTTGGTTACTTGGAGGTAAATGCCCCTTACACTGGTGGTCAGTTGGAGAAAAAATGCCCCTTACATTGCTGGTCAATGGGAAGAATGCTCCTTACATTGGTGTGTTCATTTGGAGGAAATATTCTCCTTATTTTGGTAGTCAGTTGGAGGAAGAGTGCCCCCCTTACAATGGTAGTCAGTTGGAGGAATATCGACCCTTATAATGGCAGCCAGTTGGAGGAAGAATGCTCCCTATAAGTGTGGTCAATGGAAAGGTTTTTGCAATTTTCCCACTGACTGCAATTTTCCCACTGACTACCAACATAACAGAAGTTCTTCCTATTACTGACCACCCATGTAAGGAAAATTTCTTACAATGATGGTCAATAGGGAAATTCACTTACAAAGGGCTCAGTTTACAAAGCTAAAACACCAGGATAAAGTGGTAGTAAACTTGTGTCTTACATTTTTACTTACAGGGCAACCGCCCTGACCCCCACCACACCTAACACCCTGCACACTATAACCTCCCCGGCACGCCACTCCTTCAGCCTTGCTACCATTGAAGTGGTCACTAAGGCCTTCCCAGAAGCCCGCCTCACCATTTGCCCATTGACCCTGTCCCCACACAACTCCTCCGGTCTCCTTCCTCCTCCATCCTACCCTCCCTCACCCACATCTTCAATCTCTCCCTCTCTACTGGCGTATTCCTCTCCCCCCTAAAGCACGCGCACATCACTCCCATACTCGAAAAACCCTCGCTGGACCCCACTGACCTGAGCAACCTTAGACCCATCTCCCTGCTGCCATTTTCATCCAAACGCCTCGAGCGCTTAGTCTACAATTGCCTAAGCTCCCACCTCAATGACGACAACCTCCTTGATCCATTACAGTTTGGCTTCTGTCCCCTACACTTCACCGAAACCGCCCTACTCAAAATCACTAATGACCTGCTAACCGCCAAAGCTAACGGCCACTACTCAGTCCTCCTACTCCTCGACCTCTCCGCGGCCTTCGACACAGTTGACCACCCCCTCCTCCTTAAAAAAATTATACTCCCTTGGCATCAGAGACTCCGCTCTCTCCTATCTGTCCCGACGCTCCTTCAGCATTACCTAAAACGCTGCCACCACCTCCCTCAATCCCCCTCTCTGTTGGGGTCCCCGAAGGCTCTGTCCTCGGGCCCCTCCTCTTCTCCATCTACAACTCCTCCCTTGGCCAACTGATACACTCCCACGGCTTCAACTACCACCTCTACGCCGATGACACGCAAATCTACCCCTCGCCTCACCCCTTCAGTCTCCGCCCAAATCACCCGCCTACTGAACGACATATCAGACTGGATGTCACTCCACTTCCTCAAATTAAACCTTTCCAAAACCAAGCTCCTAATTTTCCCCCCCAGCCCGCGCCCCCCCCCCCCCCACCCTCTCCATCATGACCAACAACGCCACCATCATTCCCACCCCCCAAGCCAAAGTCCTAGGTGTCACTCTAGACTCAAATCTGTCCTTCCAACCCCATGTCCAATCGCTGGCAAACTCATGCAGGTTCCACCTCCGCAACATCTCCAAAATACGTACATTCCTAACCCCAGGCACTGCTAAACAACTCATTCACTCCCTTATTATTTCACGACTCGACAACTGCAACACCGTCCTCACCGGCCTACCTCATCACAGACTATCCCCGCTTCACTCTATCCTGAACTCAGCGGCCAGACTCCTCCACCTTACCAACCGCTTTGCATCTGCCACCCCCCTCTGTCATTCCCTCCATTGGCTTCCGATTGCCCAACGCATTAAATTCAAACTACTAACATTGACGTACAAAGCCATTCATAACATTGCCCCAAACTACCTCACCGACCTGATACCCAAATACCACCCTACCCGTACTCTTCGCTCCTCACAAGACTTCCTACTTTCTAGCTCCCTGGTCTCCTCCTCCCACGCCCGACTGCAGGACTTCCCCCATCCTCTGGAATTCACTACCCCGATCCATCAGACTGTCACCTACCCTCCTCACCTTTAGGCACATCCTGAAAACCCATCTCTTCAGGAAGCCTACCCCACCCTCACCTAACAGCCGATCTTCTCCACTCCTCCCACCACTCCATCCCCCACAGCCACTTCCTCCTGTACCACTATCCCCTCCCTCCTAGATTGTAAGCTCGAAAGAGCAGGGCCCTCGAACCTCTCGTATATTGTCTTGTTACTGGATTGTCTCATGTACTGTCCCCCACTATATTGTACAGCGCTGAGCAAACTTTTTGGCGCTTTATAAACACTGTATAATAATAAAGGTAAGCTTATAATAACGTTTACCTGTAGGTAAAATGAATATCTCATAATTGTGTACTGTTTAGGAGATATTTCAGTGAGCAGTAGCCGGTGAAGTCAACTGTGCTGTAAACCATGACTCCCGAGCGCATGTGCGGTAGTGACATCATTGCGGCCAGGCCAGTCAGACGACCAGTACCTGTGAACGTGGAAGGAAGACCAGGTGCAGATAGAAGCCCTGTCAGCGATGACAGCTCGCTGCTGGAAGGCATAATTTTATGGTAAGTCTGTCATAATGTGCTAGTATGCGATGCATGCTAGTACGTTATAAGATTTGCCTTGCAGGGGGAAATCTTCTCTTACCTTTACTACCTCTTAAGGATCCCAAGAGAGTTATTTTCAGCTAAGACCAGTCATATTTGAAAATTTACAGTGTTATGGCTGAGCTAAAGATCCTTATCGTTGTTTAAAACCTTTGTGATTTGAGAATAAAGACAACTGAAAATATTCATCCTATGTACCAGACCCACAGACTTTACCAACTGATGATGGAACTATGCAAAGATTGATAGACTGGTTCTCTTTCTGTAGTGAGATGGCACCCTGTAACGTCCTGTACTTGGGGCAGTTTGCACTCACCACTTGGTAAGCCACTGCCATATTGGTAACAAAACTCTTTATTTATAGACTCTAGGAAAACGGTGGCCTACATCAATTTCTGCTTATATTTAAGCAATGACTACCAAGTTTTTGCTTAAGTACCCCAAAGGCTACATACCGACACCATATCGAGGTTCCCCAGCCATGCTGTCTTGCATCTATTGACAGCAGGACTCTGCCCTGCTACCTCATTACTGGAAACACCAGGAATTCCACAAAAACAAAGCAATACAAAGTGAACAGGATACTTTTTCAAACAAGTACATGGTACAGCAAGCATACATCAGGAATATGAAATGTTGAGCTTCCATATTCTTTATAATTAAAACATAGTTAGGCTTTATAACCACTTTAAGAAGGGAACATTATTGGCCATTCTTGTCAAAGGATGGAGACTGGAAACCTACTTACACATTTGATTACCAGCCTGTATTTACCCTTCCACTGCTGTAATAGTTCGACCTTTAATTGGTCCTGCAAAACTGCCCA